ATATCGTTTTTCCCTTCGATCTCCTCTCGCTATAGTCGGTTTTACTTGCTCACCATAAATGCAAACAATTCAATACTTCAAGGTCAAATTATTTAGAAAAAGAAAGAAAAAAAAAAAAAAAAAAACGGGTAAAATTAATTTAAATTAGATATTATAAAAGCAAAAGTATTATCAAACACTAAATTTTGATTCTAATTGATCATCAAACAATTTACAGTTAAGAATGATTAAATTTAAAATGCAAAAATTTTTACTCCACGTAAGAAAATAATGCTTGATTTGTTATTCTGAATATGAAATATTAGATGATTATTTAATATATAGTATATTTAATTTATTAAAAACAAGAAAGTAATTTAATAATGATAATTATCACTTATTAATTGCTCATCTAATTATTACTAACATTAACATTTTGCTAATTATTAACAAAAAATATCAAAATTTAAATTATCTATTTAATTATGAGTTAATCTAGTAGCAACACGTACAAAACGTATCATCCATGAAGTGATTAAATTCATCAATGTGACAACACTTGAAACTGTCTATGTGTGACGACGGCTCCAACATTTTGCTTTCATCCTCAGCACTTTTCCGCCCCGTTGTGCTCGTTGAAATTTCCCAGTTAATGATAGAGAAATAATTATGATATTGAATGAATAAGAAGATGAAATGAAATCTGCAATGGATACAATCCCTTATAAAAGATTTTTCAAAAATATAAGATAAGGCAGTGTTAAACTTTCAAATTTTCTTAAATAGCTATTTGTGATTAATTCCGAATAAGTCCATAAGCTCGCTAAAAATGTTATAAACATTTATTGATCTTCTAAAAGCACTTTTTCCTTTTTTTTTTTTTTTTCATTTTTTCTTTCTCTTTTTTTTTTTTTTGTTTCTCTTTTTCTTCATCAGTCCCCCCCTCCCCTCGGCCGTTATTTCACATCTGCAAATATTACAACTAATAGGACCGGTGGGAATTTTAAAATCTCGGAAAAGTCTTTCAAAAATTTTCACTCTCTCTTTCTTCTGTTTTATTCCTTCTTTTTCTTTTTTTTTTTTTTTCCCAAGGAATTAGTACTTCGTTAATTATTAAAGGACATGACAAGCATATTTCAATTTTCGAAAACATAAATATTACAAAATATAAAGTGTTTTGTTTACAATGTTTCATGCAAATCAATAAAAAATAACTGTTACTAATTTCTCTCATGTGATAGACAAAAAAAAAAAAAAAAAGAAGAAAAAAAAAAAATTGCAAAAGTCTAAATATACTTATTAAAACACAGTCAACAAATTTCAAATAAACAAAGACAACCTTTTGTTGTTAAGATGATTGAAATTAAAATACAAAAATTACAAATAAATTTACAAATTAAATAGAAAAAAAAAGAAAAAGAAAAAGGAGTATAAATAATTGAGAATAATCGAGCATTGTTCAGTTGACATAAGCGAAATGATAAGATTGTAGTGAAAATGAGAAATATATATAGTGATAATGATCGATCAGTGATAACAATTTTAGCGACGAAAAGTCTGAAATCATGCTTGTATAAGCATATATATATATATATGCTTATACATTCATTTATTTATTTTTAAATGCACAATGACTAAATTTTAATTAGTCCGTCCACTCCGACTAATCCAAATCTACTCTTGGTCTTACTTACTTACCACTATTAGCTCATTATTACATCTCAATAAATATATATATTATATATATATGGATGCATTGCTACCTGCCTGTCCTCTGAATATTTGCTTCTCTTGTGTCCCCTGTGTCCCCATACCACTGTCCCCTATCCGGTCCGGTCATTGTCTGATCGATAGCCTTTCTTCTCTTTCATCCCATCTGCCGTATCAGTCGTCTTCTGCACATATGCCTGCCTACCCCACTACTGTTTATTACATGAAATATTCACGGATGATAAATAAATTTACAGAGATACGAACAGCTGTTGAATGAAATCCACATCGGATATTGTCAACAAAATAGTTAACATCAATAACAATCAAACAGCATTATTATTAAAATAGGACAAAACATTAGCACAAAACCTGTTTATAAAACTTCACATAAAAATAAATAAATAAATAAAAATTAGACGATAAAGTTAACAATACCTGATTTCTAAAATAATTATTGCTACCAAACCAATAATACGCTCATATTTGTTTCGTTTCTTTCTTTTTTTTTTTTTTCTCTCTCTCTCTCAGTAATTTTAGTTTAGCATGACGTGAATCTTTCTCATCCTCATTATTTTATCCATAAAGGATCAAATTACGATAAAATTATTGAATCAAATAAAATATTTCGCAAGCAAGAAAAAAAAAAAAAAAAAAAAGATAGTTTAAATTTGTTTATGAAATAAAGTAAATAGTTTTTTTTGGAGGGGGAAAGAAGGATATGTACAATATGTCTATATCTTTATGTACATTTAACGCCTCAAAAATCTTTTCAAATTGTGAATGAATTTTTTTTTTTTTTTTTTTAAATATATATAAGTTGACAATAAACAAATAAGCACATATATTTTGAAGAATATCTATTTCGAAAATTATAATCTTCATTAAAGATTAAAATAGAATGAAGGAAAGAAGGAAGAAGAAAGAAGGAGAGAAAAGGAATCAATCAATTTATTGGGAAAGAAATAAGGAACAGATAAGATGGTTATTGGTTTGGATGAACTGATAGATGAATGAGTTATTTACTCTAAGTCCTAACTAGCAAGACATATTTTTGCTTTCACCGAAACTTCATTAAGAAAAAGAGGAAGAGAATACTTTATTAGTTAAATTCAGTTCTCATGCAAAACAAAAAAAAAAAAGATGAGAGGATCGCATTTAAAAAAAAAAAAAAAAAAAAAAGCAATTTAATCCCTTTTTCCTAAATATATTTCCAATGAAATTTACTTGACTTATCCAAATTTCACTATTTTAATTTTATATAAAATATATCGTATCGAACATTTTTCATTTTTTTTACTTATTGAAATTAATATTATTTATTATTGATTTGGATGAACTGATAGATGAATGAGTTATTTACTTGAAATGCTAACAAGCTAAGCATATCTTTGCATACACTGAAACTTCATTAAGTAAGTCCAATTCTCATGCAAAAAAAAAAAAAAAAATGAAAACAATTTTATGTCTAACTATTTAGGTCAAATATCTATTATTCAGGTCAAATTTCATCTAAGATAATTATAATTATGATAAATACCATTGTGATAGAGAAAAAAAAAAAAAATACTTTTATGACTACCAAAGAAGGTCACAGAGATCCGCCGAACCAAACTTAATTGGCAGTAATAGTAAGTGTTCATCCAATACATTCATGGATAATTTTATTAATTCGATACTTCTCAAACAGTATTAATTGATTTAATCTCAAAACGAAAAAAAAAAAAGAGAAAATTTGACAAAAAGTTGAGCTTCACATTGCAATCAGTAGTGATAACAATCAGTTAAGCTTATTTCTTGTAAATGATAGAAGATATTAACTGCAAATGAAATAAACTGTAAAAGGTGAAGAAGTAATAGTGTCTGAGAAGAAAAAAAGTTGCAACTTGCAAGAAAAATAGTAATTAAAGATGGAAGAAAGAAAGGAAAAGATGCTAATTAGCCAAATGATAAAATGACTGATTAAGTGATAATCGAAATAATTCATTATACAAACATGTTTGAAAATTGCTAACAGTAAATTACCAATAAAGAACAAACAAAATGAACAAACAGGTTATGACTGATATTACGAATATTTAAAAAAGAGATAGGATGAAACAGAAAGCATTAAATTAAAACAAACCATCAATCGAAAATGATAATGGACTGATATAATGTATCAGCTAACGAAACCAATGATCATCGTATTCAAACCACATTAATTGATTTATAAACAAATCGAAACATTTCTACGACACATTCATTGTAATTGTCGTCACGAATTTGTACATATAGCAGTTGTGCAAAATGATGATATAAACCAGATGTGGTAATAGAAGAAAAGTGTAAAATATTTTAGAATTTCAATATATCAATTGATAAGAAGCATTGGTTGCAAACAAATTGAAATCATCAAATAATTTAAAATATTGAGCACTAGTGTATGATTAAGAGTGAAATTATCAATTTGATTAATATTTTGCATCATCAGATAATGCAATTTGATAAAAACTAATATAAAAAGGTCATGAAAAAAATATTAATACTTAACATTTGAAATTTAATGATTATCAGGAAAAGAATGATAATTTAAAAGAAAGTAATTCGCATATAGTTGAAAAATAATTAAGCAATTGCATAGGAGATAGTTAGAAATATACTGCTTCACAATAATTATGATAATATAAGTAAAGATTTGCAACATTGATAGCGTATCAAAATGGAGTACAAAGTACTTTTAAAGCGTAAAAAAACGTGTAAAAGACGTAAAAAAACGTAAACAATTGATAAGAATATTTGATAGCATTAGTGGAAGAAAAGATTTACTGCTAAATACTTCATTTGAAGCTCAAATAACCAAAAAAATCCCGAATATTTGAAAGTTAAATAAACTTGAATTGAATTAAATTTGAAATTTTTGCAATTTGAACACTATTCTAAATTACCGAATAAAATATTCAGATATGAACAGAAATAAAAATAAACGATGATAGACTGCATCAAAAAGATACAGAAATTGTCAGGAAGGATATGAGAGAAAAAGAGAGAAAACAAGATAAGAGGATGAAGAAGACGAAAAATAATGGAAGAAAGAGTATTACAAGATGATTTATAATTTTGGCTATTTATCTCTAAACCGGTTTAATTAAGATTAACTATTGATGGGATTATTGGGATCATTTTTTATTATTTTTGTTCCTCTTGTTTATTGTTTAATGTTATTAATCCTAATTTTTTCTGCTCTTTTCTGATGTGTAACAAATATTTGCTTTTTTAGGTGTATTTAATTTGAATTTTCGAAAAAAGAAGAAAAAAAAACGAAAGGAAGAATGTCAGGATCTGAAACAGGTAAAATAATTGTTTTATTTTAAATGTATGAAATATGTATAAGTATTAAACAATTAAAATAGATGCTAAAATATTTTTGCATTTTGTTTTTTTCTTGCCAAATTAAAGTTTTTTAGCAAATATTTGGTTTATGTAGGAAAAAAATAAAATAAAATCGTAAAACAGGCTATATGATATTATATTATTACAGTCTATGGTGGAATCGAAGGACCAGATGCAATGTACGTAAAATTGATTAGTAGTGATGGACATGAATTTATTATTAAAAAAGATTTGGCACTAACATCAGGTACAATCAAAGCAATGTTATCTGGTCCTGGTTCATATTCTGAAAATGAAACAAACGAAGTTAATTTCAGGGAAATTCCGTAAGTATATTGATTGTTTTTTATATCCAAAATATTAGGTTGAAAATTTTTGTCGAGAAATTCTATTTATTTATTTCTGTGGGATTATTGGGATGTAAAGGCATGGTTATTTGAAAATAAAGCACAGCAATTATTAAAAAAAAAAAAAGAAAATTAAGGATATATCATTATTCTCTAATAAATAAGTTTTACGAACTAGGATATCAGATCTTATGTTAAGTTAGGATCTTATGTTTTTATTCAGGTATATTCTCTAGCAGAATGTGGATAGAAAGTTTTATGAATAAAAGATTAAAAGGGATCTGAATTATCAATGAATTACAATTTAATTTCCTAATTTGTATAGCATCTTTATTTATAGATCACATGTTCTACAGAAAGTATGTCAGTATTTTGCATACAAAGTACGTTATACAAACAGTGCAACAGAGATACCTGAATTTGTTATAGCTCCTGAAGTAGCTCTCGAACTTTTAATGGCAGCTAATTTTCTGGATTGCTAATCGTCGGCCATATTTGTAGCTTTAATGATGTGGTAACTATTCACCTCAGTTTTCCCTCTTTACAAACAACATTAGTGATTTAGTTCCAATGAAAAGTTGTGTTTTAGAACGTGTGAAACTTTCTTTCTTTTTTTTTTTTCCTTTTTTTTTTTTTCAATTTAGGTTCACGCAACAATATCTTCGCGCTTCTTGCACTTATTAAATATTTCACTGGTTGCATTTGTTTGCTACGCAAACATTCTTCGTTAGCTTTTCCTGTACAGTTTTATTTTTATTTTTGCATTGATGATTTCCTGAAACAATGCTTCAAGCATATTTTATTACATAAGATGGAATAGGAGAAGCATATACTTTAGAGTCATTGTTTTATTGGAAAATTGATCTCCTTCCTTCTCAATTTCTCCATTATAGCTCTTCATGTCATATAATGATGCAAATTTAAGTGTCAAATTTTTGCTTAGTATTTGGAAATATTTTGAAAAAATTTTATCTAGAATTCCTCAAAACTATACTTTCTTATTCTGTATTTTTTATTGCATTATTTTGCACGCTTCTTTATTATAATATTATAAACTTAGGAAAAAAGGAAGAGAAGACATAGGATTTCATAAAAGTGTTTTGCTTCATCAACTAATAGAATATTATGAATGTTCCCATTGTTCACGTTTTACCTATGAGTAAGAAAATGATTACGGTATATATATTTCATTTTTATCATAAAAAAGAAAAAAAAAAAAACCGCAGGAAAATTCAACTGATGCCTAATGAATATGTTGCTATTACGCATGTAAATGATAAATTTGTATTATGGAAATGATAGCTTTTACATTTCATCATCTGGTACTTGATGCGTTTTTTGAATTTATTAGATTTTTCATATTTTATTCGAACTTTGTGTTTAGCTAAAGTAAAAGAAAGTCTCAGAAAATATTCATGAAAGTTAATCATTATGACCATGTTACATACACAAATTTAAGCATTTAATTTAAAAATTCTATCACTTGATATGCTTTTCTTAATGAAGTTAGGTGATTACACACACATACATACATCAGAGGCTTTTTCTGTTTTATATGTGATAGCTATTTTCTTTGTTCCTTCTAAAACAAAGCATAGAACTTCCTTTTGCAAAAGTTCAGATATCTAGTGGCAGTCTCTGGAAGCTTTTACTCCATATACTGTTCTTATGTGACATTTTGATGTAAATGGCAAAGCACGGAAGTGCAATTTTACCACCTGACCAATCGATCATCATCAGTGCTTTCGGAATTACACTAGTAGAGAGTTTAACACCTGTCACATACGTATGTAAACACATACTTCACAGTCGAATGTGGAAGATAATGAAGGAAATTGCAACTGAACAAGCAGACTAAGAAAACTCCGAAAATCTGAGGACTAAGAATTTCACAACAACAAATGAATAACTTGACACACTGATGTCATATCTTTAATTCCCGTGTCACCTTCATTTTCGTTCTTTGCAGTTCACGACACATGATATTGACGCCTGGTTTACTCTTAACGAGAATACGTAGTCAACGTGCTTTCAACTTCATATAGAGAGAAACATGACGTTCTCAAATATTTATTTTTGCAACGGATGAAAATCGTTTAAGTAAAACGGTCTTAATATAACCAAAAAACAAGAAAAAAAAACACGGCAATTCAAGCAGAGTGCATAAAGAATAAGTCAAATAATAACCGTATTATCTTAGAAAATTAAAAATATAGAAATCGTTTACAAAGAGGAACTAATTATAAATTAAACTGATACAAGCAAAGGGAAAATGAAATACAAGAGAAACGGCCAAGTTATTGCCTACAGATCTGTCACGGCAATGGCGATTGATACATGGGATAGCTCAAAACTAGCTGATAAGAAAAAAGAAAGACAAAAGCGCATCTTCAACACTTCCTTTACCACAAATGAATCCAAGAATGAAGATCAATGCAAAAGTCAACAGTTAACTAGGTGAAGTAGAGCGAGCCGTTTATGGTTCCTGTACGTCCACATTCCCGACCGAAATGTAATTCTGTTTTCATCTATCTTGATTGCATATCGTCGTACAATAAAAAACTATATAACCAATAAAAAATAAATTCACACCTCTCTAGAAGAAATTTTAAACACAAAATGCCTTCATTTAAATGTCTGAATACTAGCTGTTAGAATCATAGCTTGTAAAACAAACTGGTATTACAAAATATAAAAACAAAACAAGAAAAAAAAAAATTCTTAGCTAAAAGAAGAATAGCTGGAATGGTTGCAAAAGAAAGTGGTAATGCAATAAGTTATGCTCAGAAGAGAAGTAGAAGCAATATTGTAACAAACAACTGAAATAAAATCTGAAATGTGAAAAATTCGCTTCTTCCAGGAATGACAATAACAAATCAAAATGTGGGAATGGAAGACCGGAAATGAATAACGAAGCAGTACAAGAGAATGACGACGAATGCGTGAGTCGACTAAAAAGAAGAGGAGTACTAGCCATTGAGAACCTCTAAACTTCTAATCTTAAATCATGAAGATGTAAAATTTTAAGATTTTGTGCAAAAACTTTTAAAACAAAAGCACTCATAAGTTCATGAATGATTCTGTCTGAAAGTGAAATATTCTTTCGTAAACGTCGGAAACATCGATTCGAAAGTTTCAGTATCCAGAATCCATTAAATATTGTGCAAGTTTCTCAACTGCTACACGTACTTCCGCCGCATTTTCCCCCTTATAGCAAGCAATTAGCACAGCTGAAAATTTACACTTAAATAGGAGCCACCTGTTCCTGGCATAGACGCTGTGACCCTCGCAAAAAAAAAAAAAAAAAAAAAAAAAAAATTGGAATGTTTTAATTTTTTAAATAAGAAATTCATTAAAAATAAACCAAATGTAGGAAAACAGTACATACTTGTTGCTGAATTATCTCTGCAGCTATTATGAAAAATAATAAACAAAATAAAAGACCTGATTTAGTTTTAGCTGCAAATATCCCAGTTTTATCGCGTTTACCAAAAATGAGATTCTGTTCCGTTCGTGGCACTATGTAATGCACGCCTGCAATTATGATTCAAAGCCGATTCATTAGGAAAATTTAATGGATGAGTGATTTCATAAATCTACAAGTTCATTTTGGATTTCGCCCACCATCTTTCTTCTATTCTCTCCCTCCCATAAGAACATTTCGGCTTATCACTTTTCCTGAAAATACTTCACTTACAAGAATGCTTTTCCATATTCCTCTTTCAAAAATGATTACGAAGTAGACGAAACTACCGTTAAACTGCAGTTTATTCCGATAAATCAAAATGAAATCACCAAAAACCTAAAAAGCAATCAAAAGGGTGTAATACATCAATCTGATGAAAGTGCCCCACTATTAGAACTATGTATCTTTTAAAAAGCCTCAAGAAGTCATGCTATCATGAAAAGACTATTTTAAAAAAATGCAAGAATCACCCTCCAAATCGCAACCAACAGCTGGCACTTTTTCAATATGATCATACAAAGTGACAAATTTTTTTAACTCCTCGTCTGTTGCCTGAAAAACGTAAGCATTATCTATTAATAAACATAAATCCTTTGCTTTGTTTTTCATGTTAGTCTGTTGGGATTACCAGCTTATATATATATCAAACCAAGATATAAGATGGATGGAAAAAAGTTTAATGGAAAAAAGTTTTAAATTAAATTCCAAAAATAATTCCAAAAAATTCGAAATTTAAGCCGCCTAAATCGATGGTCGAAAGAAACTTTTGGGTAATGAAAAAAGGCATTTTGCGGCAAGAGATTAATGATTTCATCATTCACTTTTCGAAGGGTTGATCTTTCAATTACTCGTGATATATCTTTACAGATTAGAGTTTACGATAGAAATAATTGCATCAAATCTATGATATCTCGGTTTGAAAAATAAGTGTGAATATCATGTTATAAAACAATACAGCATGAATTATTACCCGAAATTCACGATCACCCTCAGACCTTGCCCATACAGAACCATCTGGATAACCAACAATAGCAGCTCGTTGTATACCTTGACTTGAATCAAGTAGATTCTTGATATAAGCAGCCCAGCCAGACATTCTACAATTATTAATTGGGCAGTCTGAAAAGCAAAAAAAGAAACGAGTCTGCAATAAAAAATATATATAATAAAATTCAATAGAACGCCAACTAATACAAGTTGTGATCTTAAGACAAGAAAGTTACCTATCTTAATACAAACAAGTCTTTAAAATGAAATACAAAACTTTGAGTTATGCAAATGACAGCCAGATTTTAGCAAAAACTAAATTTAATAATTTACATTTATACAAATAAAATTTAGAATTTAAATGATAGATTTCATAGATATCAGAGGATTTGATCATTTGCAAAAATAAAAATAATATCAAATATCGATCAATAGCAATTTAAATATTAAAGATGCGTCATAAAAGCAGAAAATGAAACAAACAAAACCCCTCCAATTGTCTGACTGATGCATCACAACCCATTTGGACCTCTTGAATAACACTCAGAAATACCAATCAAACGTATCCAATTTTAATGCTCCATCTTAATGCTCGTTAAGCCTTGAAGTCTCTCTATGACATAAATATATGTCTCACGTTGTAATCATATTTTTCAGTTCAACTCTTGCATATATACGTTGATAACAATTATGTAAATTTAATCAAATATAATTTTTAATAAAAGAAATTCTTTTCAAACTTTCCATCATTTTCTATCTTTTCCTAATTTTTCTTTTTATTTTATTTACAGAATTTATAGAATTAAAATTTTTACAACATGAAAATATATTGATAGAAGAATTTGAACACTATTCTGTATGCATATTAAATAGAAGAAGTTAGCTGTGCTGAGAACGTAAAGCTATCATCAACTATTTGAATCTCTGAATCATTTTACATTTTTAGCATGCATCATCAATGCTAGCAATATCTGTTGGGTACCCAGAATGAGGGAAGCAAAAGCATTGTTCCCCGAAAATTATTGTTAA